ATAAAATGTTACAACGATATTAATGAAAGTTTATATTTTAAAATTAAACTGCAATTTAGAAAATTCAAATTAATTTCATGTGAATTTTCCCTTTTTGCATATAATTGAGAGAATTTTAATTTTAAACAATTCGTTTTTAATTTAATTAAAGATTTCATTTTTCTCCCAATACGCGCCAACCGTTTGTACATGGAAATTGTAAAATTCAACAATTTTGATATTAAATTATCGATGTAATTTTTTTTTTTCAATTAATTTGAAATTGTACAAATTATTATTACAGTTGTATTTACCATTATTTTAACAGATTTTATAAATCAATTAAAAGAGTCTCAATTTTGTTAAATTGATGTCCTTTTGATGTCATGAAAATTTTCCAATTATTTGAATATATTTCGAGACATTTCTTCAAAATATATTTTAATTTTTTAATATTTTAAAAATTCACAAAAATTTTGTAAAGAAATAATAGAAAAGAATAGGTGAAAGAAGTCTTTGGTTAAATTAAATTAAATAATTGTAATATTGAATTAACAAATTTATTTACAAGCAAAAAATATTTTATCTGGAACAACTATAAATTTTATTGTAACCGAGAAATTTTTCGTTGTTTCAGTTAAAACTCTATTCTAGAGAAAATTATCATTGTTTCAGGTAAAATATTTTTTTCCGTGTAAAATTCAAATAAGATAAATAATATTTTTCTATTTAATTACTCAATTATAATCATAATTGTAAAAGGGAAATGTTAATAAAATATTTGACTTTGCGAAATTTGATTTAAAAAATAATTGAAAACTTAAAATTAATTAACGAACATGGTAATGGAATAATAGAAATTATGCAAATGTTTTTTATTTATTTGTCAGAAATCCGAATTTTTTCCAAAATTGTGATTAAAAAATGAAATATTCAAATTTTTTTAACATTTCTTTAAAAAAAATACTTGAAATACTAAGACACTAAAAATTTTATTTCAAAAAATTGTGATTGACAAATTGTAATTTGTAAACAAATTTTTCTCTCTATTTTTAAAAAATTTGGAATTTTTTAAAAAAAGTGATCAAGAAATATTAAAGATCAAAATTTATTTTTTTTTTCTTTGAAAAAGAAGAAAAAACAGGATTTTAAATAAAAATAGTGATTTTAAAATAAGTATTAACGGAATTTAATAGTATTTTTTTATCATTATTTTAAAAAAAAATTATAATTCCTTTAAAAATTGTGATTAAAAAATTGAATTTGTAGAAATATTTTTTCATAAGAAACTAAAAATTTTGTAACAAAAAAAAAAGATTAACAAATCAAAATTATGACAATTTTTTTCCTTTTCCTAATGTTTTCAATTAAAAATTGTAATTGACAAATTGAATTTGTAAACAAATTTTTCTCTCTATTTTTTAAAAAATTTGGAATTTTCTTAAAAAAGTGATCGAGATATATTAAAGATCAAAATTTATTTTTTTTTTCTTTGAAAAAGAAGAAAAAATTGGATTTTGTATAAAAATTGTAATTTTGAAATAATAATTAATCAAATTTTTTACCATTAATTTAAAAAGAAAATTTATAATTCCTCTAAAAATTGTGATTAAAAAATAGAATTTGTAGAAATAATTTTCCATAAGAAACTAAAAATTTTGTAACAAAAAAAAAGATTGACAAATCAAAATTATGACAATTTTTTTCCTTTTTCTAATGCTTTCAATTAAAAATTGTAATTGACAAATTGAATTTGTAAACAAATTTTTCTCTCTGTTTTTAAAAAATTTGGAATTTTCTTAAAAAAATGATCAAAATTTATTTATTTTCTTTAAAAAAGAAGGAAAAACAGAATTTTATTTTATTTTATTTAAAAAAAAAAAAAAAAAAAATTTCTCACTTTTATTTCTACTTTGACATATTTTCATTTTCACTTTCACATTAATTTTCTCATTGACAGAATTTATTTTTACTTTCACATAATTTTATTTTCCCCTTCGATAGATTTACACTTTCACTTTAATTTTAACATTGATTTGATTTTCACTTTTCCTTTCTCTTTTCACTTTCATTTTTACTTTGATGGAATTTTTTTTAACTTCATTTTCACTTTCATTTTTAATTTACAATTTTCACTTTCACACATTCATTAAAATTTTAAATGAAAATCTACCAAAGTGAAAATGAAAGTTTTAGTCTACTAAGAGTGAAAATTCATTAAAATTTTAAATGAAAATCTACCAAAGTGAAAATGAAAGTTTTAGTCTACTAAGAGTGAAAATGAAAGTGAAAATAAAATCTTGTCAAAGTGAAAGTGAAAATAATAATAAAAATCTTTTAAAGTGAAAATTAAAGTAAAAGTTTTTGTCTAACAAACGTGAAAATGAAAGTGAAAATAAAATTCTGTCAAAGGGAAAGTAAAAATGAAAATAAAAATCTTTTAAATTAAAAATTAAAGTGAAAGTTTTAGTCTATGAAGAGTGAAAATGAAAGTGAAAATAAAATTTTTTCAAAGTGAAAGTAAAAATAAAAATAAATTTTTTTTTAAAGTGAAAATTAAAGTGAAACTAAAATTTTGTCAAAGTGAAAGTAAAAATGAAAATAAAAATCTTTTAAAGTGAAAATTAAAGTAAAAATACAAATCTGTCAAAGTAAAAATACTTCGTCTTTGTTTTTTTTTTCATATTATTAAAATTACAAATTTAGTAAAATGAAAGTGAGAATGAAAGACAGAGTTTCTAAATATCCGACTTCTACTATATTATAGAAAAATAATGATTAAAAATAGTTAAATTTTGCTAAAATTGAAACGTCGTAAAGTTCAAATAACCTTAATGAATAAAATTATAATCTTATTATTTTCATCAATTTTATTAATTTCATTAATTTTATTAATTTCATTCATTTCATTAATATCATTCGTTTCATTAATTTTATTAATTTTATTAATTTCATTAATTTCATTAATATCATTCGTTTCATTAATTTTATAAATAGAAGCATAAATATTTTTCGAATCTCTAAATAGAATTAATTATCCCCTATTTTCTCTCAAAGAATGTTTTCTGTTGATTAAAATGATTTTCCAAGATTTTTTCCTCCTCGTGCATCAGTGGTCATGTTTTCTTTTTTTTTTTCTTTCCTTTTTTGTGTGTGTGTGTGTGTACCCTTTTTATGTTATGTTTTACCTCAGAAACGTTAAAGGACGTGACTCTGAAATTCACCCTCAGGATAATTAACGAGAGGACTCGAATGTCTCCTTCGTTTGAAACATACGTTTAACGACCTGCGTTGCCAGAAGGAAATTACGGATTCGTATGGATGTAGAAGTGGACTATCTGGAAAAGTAGAGGCACGTTCTTCTATAATTGTTGAGGTGGTTTCTCGACAGCCTTTAGAGTTCCCATCTCTCTTTCAAGTAATCGTTCTTTAAAACATACTCGCTCTCTCTCTCTCTCACTCTCTCGCTCACTCTTTACCTTTTTCCATTAAGGTAAAATGCTTCCAAGCTAAAAAAAATATACTTCAATTGAATTAAATTATTCATTTACTTACGGTTCATCATTTTCTCAACATTTAAATGGTGTTTTTATTTTTAAAAATGTATTTTTAATTATTTTCTCTTTTTAATTCTGTATCAAAACGTATTAACCCCTTCGCAGTCTAGTTGAAAATCGCTTGTGGTCCAAAAACGGTCCGAAAAAAAAGTTTACAAAAAAATATGATTTAATCATATATAAGGTTTTTGGGGTCGCTGAATTCGAATTTGAGGTTAATTTTTGAAAATTCAAAATGGCGGATCCAATATGGCGACCAAATATGGTGGATAATTTTAAAATTAAAGCGTTTTAAGGGAAATTCATTTCTCGGGGGTTTTCGAGGTCGCTGAATCCAAATCTGAAGTCAGATTTAAAAAATTCAAAATGGCGGACCCAAAATGTCGACTTCAAAAAAAAATTTTTTTTCAGATTCCCTTAAAACTCGTTACTCGGGGGTTTTCGGGGTCTCTAATTACAAATATGATGTCAGATTTTCAAAATTCAAAATGGCGGATCCAATATGGCGGATGATTTCAAGATTGATGCGAAAAAAATATGAAGTTACCTCAAAAACCCCTGAGTAAACATTTTAGACAAATTTGTCAACATTCAAAAAATTTGATCGACATATTGAATCCAAAATTTAGCATTTAGAAAAACGAACATCAAATTCGAATTCAGCGACCCCAAAAAACCCCGGGAACGGAATTTCGATCAAAACGCATAAATTTTGAAATTATCCGCCATATTGGATCCAACATTTTGAATTTTGTAAAACGAACATCAAATTCAAATTCAGCGACCCCAAAAACCCCCGAGAAACGAATTTTAATCGAATCGCATCAATCTTGAAATTATCCGCCATATTGGATCCGCCATTTTGAATTTTAAAAATCTGACATCATATTTGTAATCAGAGACCCCGAAAACCCCCCAAGTAACGAGTTTAAAGCGAATTTGAAATTTTTTTATTTTTCGAAGTCAACATTTTGGGTCCGCCATTTTGAATTTTTTAAATCTGACTTCAGATTCGGATTCAGCGACCCCAAAAACAGTAGTATGTACTTCGCTACTAAAATCAAATCATGTTTAGTATTTTTTTTTTGAGATGGCCATATATGGCCACAGACGCAAAGGTGGCACGACTTTTCGTGGCCATATATGGGCCATGGACTGTTAAGGGGTTAAAACGTTGCTTCGCAACTATTTTGATACGTTTTTTTTGTCTCAATTTGATATCTGCAGAAAAACTGTGATATTTAGTTACATTCGTAACGCGTCTAAAAAATCGTCAAAGGAATAAAACTCTAAAAAAAAGAGAAACAAGATAACTCTTGATTTTACGAACTATTAAAACTATATTTATTTTGAATTACGAAGAAATTCTCAATCAGCGAAAAATTCTAACATTAACTATATATTTATTTTTATTTGAAAAATTAAAAATACGATTAAAAATGTTTTTCGATTTTTTTGTTTCAGGTTTCCTGGATGCGTAAGAGGGATTTACACATATTGACGTCGTCAATTTTCACTTACACGGGGGATGGAAGATTTTCAGTGAAACATCCTGAAGTGTCTGATGAGTGGAGATTAAGGATCGAATATGTCCAGCCGAGGGACGCTGGCATCTACGAATGTCAAGTTAATACAGAACCTAAGATGAATTTAGCCTTTATGTTGAAAGTTGAAGGTAATTTTTTTCACATTCTATCATTTTTCATTATTTCTTCTTTATTATCACAGCGTTTTTAATCTATACAATTATAAATACTAAATTTCATTCACTTTCGTGTTAAGTAACTGATATGTAGACTTTTACCACTGTTTACTTAAAATTGAGAAAACAAATCAGAAATTATTATTTTGAAAAAGATTTTTGGCCAAATAATAATCCAAAAGATTGTTAAATTAAAAATCAAAAACTTATTCCTTTATAAATAAATTATTATTTATTCTTTATAAGTGTTAAATTAAATAATAATTTACTATTTTGGAAAAGCTAATTATAAAATAATTATAAATTTTGCTTGATTAAAAATCAAATTCTTTATCTAAATCAGGTTTGCCACAGGTCAGAGAAATCAGGGAATTTAGAAAAATGTTAGGAAAAGTATAATTGGTCAGGGAAATCAGGGAAAATTCAGGGATTTTTACCAAAAGTACTGTAAAAAAATTTAATTTTTAGAATTCAATACAAAATTATAAATTTTGGTGTCTTTTTTGTTTGCCTCATAAACCATAAAATTACCACGAATTCTAATAAAAACTCATAAATTTGTTCTATTTCTGCCAATAGTTTTTTTTTGATAATTTAATTTTTATAAAAAAACAATCATAAAATTATTATAAAATTATTACTTAGAAATTATTTAATTTAATAATTTACAATGTTTAACATTATTTCAAAAATTTTAACGCAGTTCTTTGAAAGAATTCAATTATCTTGATAAATATCAGAATTCTTCCCAGAAATTCAATTATTTTCAGGAATTAAAATAAAATTTTTTTCCAAAATTCCATTATTTTCATAAATATATATCAAATATTCATCACAAAAATTCAATTATTTTAAAACGTAATAAAATTCTTCGCAGAAATTCAATTATATTCAATTTTTTTTAAATTATCGTCAAAATTTCAATTATTTCTCTAAATAGCAAATTTCCTCATCGCAATTCCAATTATTTTTCAAAAATTTTAATAACATAAATAAATAAGAAAAAATTTACAGTTATTCAATTATTTGAAAAATTTTTATTTTTTCAGGGATTCAATTATTTTTATAAATAGCAAATTTCTTTACAAAAATTCAATTATTTTTAAAAATTTTAATAAAAATCTTGGAAAAAATTCAATTATTTAAAAATTTTTTCCTCAAATCAAAGATTTTTAATATTTACCTACTATTTTAATAAAATTTCCCAAAACAATTAAAATTAAAAAAAAAATTGGATAAAATGTTACTCAAACATTCAATTATTTTCAAAAATAATAGAAATTTCACAAGATTTCAATTTTTGAAAATAGAATTTGCATAACGTTTTTGGAAAAAATCAATTATTTAAAATTGTTTTATAAAATTCGTTACACTAATACAATTATTTTTATAAATATTAAAATTGTTTTGAGAAAGTCAATTATTTTCATAAATATAATAAAACTTATTGCAGTAGGATTTCTATTATTTTTGATCCAATTTTAATTGAATTCCTCAAAAAATGAAACTATTTTTATAAATGTTATTAAAATTCGTCGAAGGCATTTTATTATTTAAAAATTTGTTGATAAAATTGTTTGTGAGATTTCGATTTTAAGATACATTCAGTTATTGAATAAATTATTTATTTTTTATTTTAAATAATTGAATTCTGGTAGCATTTTCTAATAATAAATTGATTTAAAAATTAATTTCTGTTAAAGTTTTAGATAATAATTGAAATTTAGAGAAGTTCTTAATAATTAAAATTTTTATAAATAATTTAATTTTGTAATGTTTTTAAATCAAAGTCTTTGAAAATATAAATTTTTTATACTTTTTGATTTTTAATTAACAGTTTTGTCGAACTGTTTTTTTTTTAATAATTTTAAACAAAATTTTTTAAAAATTAACTTGAACTTTTTATTTTCTTATAATCTAATTGAAATCTAAAAATCTAATTGAAGAATTTTCGAAAAATCGAAATTTCGTAAAATTGAATTAAAAACAAATGGATTTGGAAATTCTCACATAACTTTTTCAAAAATTATTATAAATAATTGATTTAATGAAGAATTTCAGTTGAAAATTTCTAGAGAATGATAATTGAATTTAAATGATGAAAATAATTCTGAAGAAGTTACAGTAAAAATATTCTTATAAGTTATTGAATTTTGAAAGGTCTAAATCTGAAATTTTTTTTAAATCTTTATTTTTATGGAATAATATTCAACATGGAGATGCTATTCTCCACCTGCGAACGCCAAGGTCACCGCTAGATGTCAGTTTAGTTGACAAAACCTGATTTTTCGCCACCTAGTGGCGATCTTGGCGTTCTCAAGTGGAGAGATTAAACAATTTTCTCCCTCAAAACCTTTTTTATAAAAAAAATGTTATTTTAGTACTATTTTATTTTTTTAAAAACTATTTTCTTATTACAATTTTTTTATTAATAAATTCAATCCGAGGCCTGTAAGTTTTGTAAATAAAATCAAAAAAAGATCATGATACTAACCGAAAATACAAAAGGATAATTATTCCCCCCTCCCCTTTACGAACTTAATAATAGAGAATTTTTAATTGAACAAAAATAAATTAAAAAAAAAACTGCTTCTGGTGCTTGAGTAATGGAATCGAAGTGCACTGAAAGCAGGTTCTCGAGTCAAGTATATAGCACGTGCATGTACTTAAATTTCCTTTTTTATATGTATAGCATTTTAATGCAATGTTAACGGTTGAGTAGCGTTTCGATCCTCTGCCTGAAAAGTGTGATCTCTTCGACTTCGATTAACTCGATATCTTTTCTGTCCTCCCATTCCAGAAAGTAGCCCTGTCCCTGCCACCACACCGAACGCCATTCATCGGACGTTCAGCTCAGGTTAGAATCATGCAAGAGTAAACTCCTTCCGTGCTGTTGATCCAAAATGCATTTAGTAGTGTTCTAGATAAGACCGCGAGAAACTGCCTTAACTCTTTCAGCTCTTAAATTCATTCAACGAGAAGTTAGTGCTTTACATGCAAGGGCACAAATCCCCTCTTCCATAATCAGATTCAATTGTTAATTATTTTCTAAAACTATAAAAAAAATTTCATTTTTCAATTATTTTTCAAAACTACAAAAAAAAATTTCAATTTTCAATTATTTTTTACAACTATGCAGTAAACAAATTGAAATTTTCAATTATTTTTTACAACTATGCAGTAAACAAATTGAAATTTTCAATTATTTTTCAAAACTATGCAGGGAAAAATTGAAATTTTCAATTATTTTTCAAAACTATGCAGGGAAAAATTGAAATTTTCAATTATTTTTCAAAACTATGCAGGGAAAAATTGAAATTTTCAATTATTTTTCAAAACTATACAGCAAAAAAAATTAAAATTTTCAATTTTCAATTATTTTTCAAAACTATACAGCAAAAAAAATTAAAATTTTCAATTTTTAATAATTTTTTAAAACTGAGCAGAAAAAAAAATTTTCAATTATTTTTCAATACTATACAGTAAAAAAATTAAAATTTTCAATTTTCAATTATTTTTTATAACTAAACAGAAAAAAACATTTTCCAATTTTCAGTTATTTTTCAAAACTAAAAACAAATTTTAATTTTCAATTATTTTTTACAACTATGCAGTAAACAAAATGAAATTTTCAATTATTTTTTAAAAAATTTTAATTCGCGATTTTCAATTCTTTTTTAAAACTACACAGAAAAAAAAAGTTTCAATTTATAATAATTTTTCAAAACTATACAGTAAAAAATTAAAATTTTCCCTTTTCAATTATTTTTCAAAACTACACAGAAAAAAATTAAAGTTTTCAATTTTGAATTATTTTTTAAAACTACAACAAAAAAATAAAAATTTTCAATTATTTTTCAAAACTGCACAGAAAATAAAATAAAAATTTTCCATTTTTAATTATTTTTCAAAACAACATTGAAAAAAAATTTTAATTTTCCATTTTTAATAATTTTTCAAAACTATACAGTAAAAAATTAAAATGTTCTATTTTCAATTATTTTTCGAAACTACACAGAAAAAAATTAAAATTTTAACTAAACAGAAAAAAAATTTTCAATTCTCAATTATTTTTCATAACTAAACAGAAAAAAACATTTTCCAATTTTCAATTATTTTTCAAAACTACACAGAAAAGAAAATTAAAATTTTCAATTTTCAATTATTTTTCGAAACTATACAGTAAAAAAATTAAAATTTTCCATTTTCAATTATTTTTCAAAATATGTAGTAAAAAAATGAAATTAAAAATAAAAAAAAATAGAAATAAAGTAATAAAGAAATAAAATATAAATAACAGAACGTAAAATAAAAATGCAAAATAAAAATTGTAAGTCTCACGTCTAAAAGCATAAATTCTAATAGAATCGCTGAAACTTTTCTATTAATTTTCTACTGAAACGAAAAAAATGTCAAGTATTCATTTTAACGAATGAAAGATTTTTATAATAAAGTAAATTTAAAAAAAAAGAAATTTGTGTTATAATAGAGTTCACGATAAATATAAATGTATCTTCGCAGTATAAAGTTAAACAGCAAGTATGTTTCTAACTTTGCTCAAACAAACTATTTGAACGCCATTATTTAACTTGGAAAAACTTTTTACTTTTCTTATCTGTTTTTTATTATATTCACTATAGTCAGTTATTTGTTTTGTTCCTTCTCGCTACTTTCTTAGAGTTAATTTTCTACTTTATTATCGTAATTTACTTTTTCACATTTAATATAAATTTATTTTTAACATCGCAAAGTCGACTGACTTTCCGCTATCGTTTATTTTCTTTTTCCTCTTTCCTTTGAATATCCATGTCTTGAAAATACATTTTCCTTTTCACAAACAAAAAAAAGTAGGTTTAAGAAAAATATTTTTAAAAATAAAACCTAATTATCGCTTACAAATAGTGTCTGCATTTTTTTCTTTTGTTTTGTTACATAAAAAAGAAATCTCGTGGAAAATAATATTTTTTCAAGAATAGCAGAGAAAAAAATTAGTGGAGAAAAATTTCTTTACAGAGATCAATTTATTTTCTTGCCAAACAAATTATCGTGAGAAACATATATTATTTTGGTAAAAAGAATTTTCAACTATGAGATCAAATTTTCTTTTTTTAAAGAGAAGGTAAATATATGGAGAGTAAAAAATTATATTTAACTGAAAGAGTTACGGTAAATGCTTTCTTTACTTTAATTTATTCCCTTTTATTTTCCAAATGCATAATTTGCACCTGCAAGCTTAAAGTTTTCATATAATTTCGCCTGCTTTGATGTGTGTTTTATTTGCATGACGTATGTATATATGTATATACTTCCAGGGGAAAAGTTTTTCAAAAGAAAAGAGGAGAATTTTAAAATTCTGTTACGATTTAACGTTTAAAAAACACACACACACACACTTAAACAGAAAAATATTTTATTTTCCTAAAATTTCTTTTAGAAATCCAGATAAACGTTTTCTCCATTATTTATTCAAATCACTTAATCCGAGAAAAGTTCAATTTTTCTTTGGAAAAAAAAATTTTTCAATTTTTAAAACCGACTTTTATTAATTTATAGAAATTTATTATTTTTGTTATTTAGTATTTTATTATTTTTTAAGGTGTAGTTTTTTGAATATTTGAATTAATTTAGAATGTTTAAAGTCAGGTTTTTACTTTTTACTTTTTCTGTTTCTTAATTTGGGATTTCATTATTTGTTATTTTATTATTTTCTAAAGTACAGTTTTTTATTAAATATTTTAATTAACTAACAATTTTTAAAGTCAGGATTTTACTTAATTTCTTTTTATTAATTTGAAATTTTCTTATTTTTCTTATTTTATTCTTTTCCCAATACACTTTTTTTTTAAATATTTGAATTAATTTAAAATTTTTAAAGTCACGTTTTTACTTTTTACTTTTCCTGATTATTAATTTGGAATTTCATTATTTGTTATTTTATTATTTTGTAAAGTGCAGTTTTTTTTTAATATTTTAATTAATGAACAATTTTTAAAGTCATGATTTTCCTTTCTATATTTAATAATTTGGGATTTCTTTATTTTTGTTATTTTATTCTTTTCTAGAATACAGTTTTTTTTTAATATTTGAATTAATTAACAATTTTTAAAGTCAGGATTTTTTTTTACTTTTTCTTTTTATTAATTTTTTATTTTATTATTTTCTAAACTACAGTTTTTTTAATATTTGAATCAAAATTTTAATACGAAGTTTTTACTCTTTCTGTTTATTAATTTCAAATTTTATTATTTATATTATTTATTATTTTACTATTTTCTAAAGTATAGTTTATTTTAATTTTTGAATTAAATATTTGTAAAATCAAGTTTTTACTTTTTCTTTTTATTAATTTGGGATTATATTATAATTATTATTTTATTACTTTCTAAAATACAGTTTTTCTTAATATTTTAATTTAAAATTTTTAAAGTCAGGTTTTAACTTTTCTATTTATTAATTTAATATTTTATTATTTGTTATTTTAAAATTTTCTAAAAGTAGGTCTTTTTTTTAAAGTACAGTCTTTTTTTTAAATATTTGAATTAATTGACCATTTTAAAGTCAGGATTTTATTTTCTACTTTTTCTTTTTATTAATTTTGAATTTTGTTGGTTTTATTATTTAATATTGAATTATTTTCTATAGTATGGCGTTTTTTTTTAATATTTGAATTGATTACAAATTTTTAAAGTCAGGTTTTTGCCTTTTCTTTTTATTAATTTAGGATTTTATTATTTTGTAAAGTACAGTTTTTCTTAATTATTTAAAAATTTTTCAACTTAGATGGTAAATTTTTTTTTCTATCATGTAGGGAAGACTGCCCTACATTTAATTTATTTTAATTTAATTTAATTTTAAAACAATAATTTCAGTATTTGAAGCAAATACCATTTTAATTGACTCAAATTAAAAATTATTTGATTCAAGTAAATATTTAATATAGTCAAGTAATAGTTCCCAATGGGAAGTAAACGATTGGTTCAATAATGGGCCATGCTTGGCGAACTCCGTTCCATTATTGGAACATTAATGGCAACCATCATTGGACCACCAATGGTTTAAACTTGGGATGATCACGCTACTGCCAATGATCGGTAGCCAAGCATCGGGCCAATATTAGTTGCCAAGGAATTGCCAAGGAAACAAAATCGATTTTCAAAAGCTTGATTTTTTATTGGCAGCCAACAAAAAACCAAGGTTTTGAAAATTTATTTTTTTAAATTATTAATTAAAATTTATTTTTAAAAAATATATTTTTCAAAAATTTATTTTTAAAAAATATATTTTTTTTAAATTAATAGAACATATTAATTTAATTTGTCACCTCTGGTAAAACAAAGATGAAAGACTGATAAATTCCCTCACTTTATATCTTACAGTGGAGGGATAACTGTGAATGTCTTTGCGAGAGAGGAGCAGGTACTTATATAGAGCCAGTGAAACAGGTCACAAGCGAGAAGAAATCACTAGCATGCACTCTGGCGGCGCTTGTCGGAAGTGGCGCAACGTTGGTTGCCAAGCGCTGTGTCGATAACGTCAGGATATGCATGCGCGCCAGAAAACAGTTTCGACAAGCGCCGCCAGAGTGCATGCTAGTGATTTTTTCTCGCTTGTGACCTGTTTCACTGGCTCTATATAAGTACCTGCTCCTCTCTCGCAAAGACATTCACAGTTATCCCTCCACTGTAAGATATAAAGTGAGGGAATTTATCAGTCTTTCATCTTTGTTTTACCAGAGGTGACAAATTAAATTAATATGTTCTATTAATTTAAAAAAATATATATTTTTAAAAAATAAATTTTTGAAAAATATATTTTTCAAAAATAAATTTTAATTAATAATTAAAAAAAACCAATTTTTAAAACCTTGGTTCTTTGTTGGCTGCCAATAAAAAATCAAGCTTTTGAAAATCGATTTTGTTTCCTTGGCAATTCCTTGACAACTAATATTGGCCCGATGCTTGGCTACCGATCATTGGCAGTAGCGTGATCATCCCAAGTTTAAACCATTGGTGGTCCAATAATGGTTGCCAATTGTTTTGCCAAGAAAAAACCATTGGGCACCAAGCATGGCCCATTATTGAACCAATCGTTAACATTGGCAACTTCCCGTTGGGTTATTTGATTTAAATAAATTTTTTTCAGCGTATGAACTACTTAACAAATTTTATGATTTTTTTAGAAATAGAAAAATAGAAAAAATTTTTTTGATTACAACTTTTTAATAGACAGTATATTTTACATTGCACACCAAATACAATTTCGAATCAACAAATTTTTTTATTATTCATTGTACGACAGTCTTTCCTGAGCATGCTTCTTGATAGCAGAAGATCGATTCGCAGAAATAATCGCAGAATTATAATATTATCAATATACAACATAAATATCTAGAAATAATTGTAAAAAAAGTAGATTTTTTTTTAGAAGTAAAAATTCCTTAATATCCTAAGAGAAAAAAAAAGAATTTTTCCATTTAGTTTCTTTCAATGATGTGGAAATGTGCTGGGAATTGAAGAGAACGTTTCTAATCTATGTTTCAGCTGCACAAGCGAAAATCCTAGGACCAGAAGATGTCTATGTGAAGAAAGGTAGTACAATAAGCCTCACGTGCACGGTTAATGTGCAAAGTACACCCCCGAGCAGCGTTTCGTGGCATCACGGGAGTGCAGTAGTGGATTTCGACAGTCCCAGGTATGCACTTGATCCAAGAAAATTTCTCTTCTCTCTCTCCTTCGCTAACTCCATTAACTGTGTCCTTTCCTATTTCAACTTCTATATATATATTTCGCACTGCTTCTCTCGTCTTCTATTCACTTTATAACTTTAACATACTATCTCATAATTTTCATTAATTATGATTCAACTTTGAAAATTAGTTTTCATTCCCAACTTTATTATTATCTTTATTGTGCACTCGAAATTTTCTCCCACTATCTTAGTTCAATATAAATTTTCCGTATATCATTGAATTTACATAATTTTACATTTTCATTTTTTTTTTTTTTTTTTTTTTAAATAGAAAATGTAATTTTAATTGGAGGATATAAATATATATATATGGTGAATATTTGAGATAGTGTAAGTTTGTAGAAAATATTTAATTTATGTAAGGTCACGTCGCAATAGTAGAGTAAATTCAATGAAAAAATTATTCAGGGGTTTCAAGAATATTGATTACAAATCAGGGAATCGATTATGTAAGTTCATTTTTACTTTGACTTTCATTTTCACTTTTATTTTTGACAATTTTTTTATTTTCACTTATTTTACAAGATTTTTATTATATTACTTCCATTTTCACGTTCATTTGGAAATTTTCATTTTCAATTCAATTTCACTTTCAAAGATTTGTATAAAATTTATAAATTTTTATTAAAATAGTCAAAGTGACAATAAAAGGAAAAATAAAAATCTGTTACAGTGAAAATAGAAATGAAAATAAAAAAATTCTAAACAGTCAAAGTGAGAATAAATAAAAATCTATAAGATGGAAAATAAAAGTTAAAGTCAAGTTAGAAATGAAATTACATAATAGAAAACCAGGAATGCCAAAAAATTTTCACTTTTAATTTTCCTTAAAATTTCTCACTTTCACTTTCACTCAAAATTTTCCTTAAAATTTCCCATTTTTATTTTCAATTTCAATTTCAAAAGTTTTCATTGTCACTCAAAAAAGTTTTACTTTCACTCCAAAAATAAAAATTTGTTCAATGAAAGTGAAAATAATTTTTGTCAAAGTGAACAATTCTTTAAATAATAGTAAGGATTTTTTAAATAAAAGTAAAAATATTTGAGTCAAAGGAAAAATGATAATTTTATGAGTGAAAGTGAAAATTTTTTTTAAGGAATACTAAATTTTATTTAACGAAAGTAAAAAATGTTTTTACTGAAAGTAAGAATTTGGGTTTTTAATAAATGTGAAAATTTTTTTGTGAAAGTGAAAGTGACAATTTATTGAGTGAAAGTAAAATTTTTTTTAAGTGTAAATGACAATTTTGTTAGTGGAAGTTAAAGTAAGAATTTTTTAGAGAAAATCAAAATTTTTTTTAGTGATAGTGAAAATTTTTTTAGTGATAATTGAAAGTGAAATTTTTTGAGCGAAGTCAAAGTTTTTTTAGTAATGATCAAAATTATTTTAATAAAATGAGAAACTTTTTTAATGAATGTGAAAATTTTTTTAGTGAAAGTCAAAATGTTTAAAATAAAAATGGACATTTTTTAGTGAAAGTGAATTTTTTTTAGTGAAAATGAAAATTTTTTGAGCGAAAATGAAAGTGACAATTGTCAAAATTTTTATAGTGAAAGTGAATTTTTTTAAATGAAATTGAAAGTAACAATTAATTGAGTGAAAAAAACATTTTTTTTTTAGTGAAAATGACAATTTTAATGAGTGAAGTCAATATTTTTCTAGTGAAGGTCAAAACTTTTTTAATAAAAGTGAGAATTTTTTTAATGAATGTAAAAATTTTTTGAGTGAGTGTGAAAGTGAAAAATTTTTTTGAGTAAATGTCTAAGTAATAATTTTTTCAGTGATAGTCAACATTTTTTTAGTAATGGTGTACATTTTTTAATAAAGTTGAATTTCTTTTATATTTTGTGCAAATAACAATTTTGTGAGTGAAAGTTAAAGTAAGAATTTTTTAAGGACAGTCAAAATTCTTTTATTGAAGATGAACATTTTTTTAGTGAAAGTGAAATTTTTGCAATGAAATTGAAAATGAGAATTATTTTAGTGAAAGTCAATCTTTTTTTTTAGTGAAAGTGACAATTTTGTTAGTAAAAGTAAGAATTTTTTAAATGAAACTGACAATTTTTTTATCAAAAGTAAGAATTTTTCGAGCGAAAATAAAAGTTTTTAGGTGAAAGTGAAAGACAAATTTTTTTTAGTGAAAGTGAAATTTTTTTTAGTAAAAGTGAAATTTTTGTAATGAAATTGAAAATGAAAATTAATTCAGTGAAAGTCAGTCTTTTTTTTAGTGAAAGTGACAATTTTGTTAGTAAAAGTAAGAATTTTTTAAATGAAACTGACAATTTTTTTTATCAAAAGTAAGAATTTTTCTAGCGTAAATAAAAGTTTTTAAGTGAAAGTCATAGTCAAATTTTTTTTAGTGAAAGTGAAATTTTTGCAATAAAATGGAAAATGAAAATTAATATAGTGAAAGTCAATCTTTTTTTTAGTGAAAGTGACAATTTTGTTAGTAAAATTAAGAATTTTTTAATGAAACTGATAATTTTTTTATCAAAAGTAAGAATTTTTCCAGCGAATTTAAAATTTTGTAAGTGAAAGTCATTTTACTGAAAGTGACAATTTTCTGAGTGAAGTCAAAAAATCTCAACATTTTTTTAGTAAAAAGTAAGAATTTTTTAATGAATGTTAAAATTTTTTTAGTTTTAAAAATCTCAATTACATTTCAAATACTTTTCTCGACTTTATAAATAAGAAGATTGGGATTTATTTCCTTTCCTCTATAAATATAACATTTTCAAAAAAAAAAAGGAAAAACAACTTGAAAAATTGTCGTCATTAAAAAATAAGCTCTGGTTTGATTGAGAACTCACAAAAAAAAGAAGACTCTTCAACTTTTTCAAGAAGCTGAGAGAAATTAAGTTGAAAAAAAAATTAACGTCCTATGAAGTTTTTTTTAACAAGCCAAGTAATGAACTTTAAGGAATCTACCTCACAGAAAGTTTCGAGTTTAATCAGTTTCTTTTTAGTAAGTATTATTCCAGGGCATTTCCTTCACGGGTCAATTCATATATTCGAAAAGTTGAATTTCAATTTCGATTTTCTCTATTCTGAAATTTTTCACTTTTAGAATATATGTGGAGGAAAAAATTTATTTCTTTTAATTACAAATTTTTCTTTCTATATATGAGGGTAAATAAGTTAAAAAAGAGAATTGAAGAATAATAAAAAAAAATATAGTTGCCTGACAGGAAATAGAAATGGTTAAAAAAAAAGAAAGAAAATGGAGTTTTGTGAGACAATTTTTCCCGATAATGTTGAAATTCCAGTTCAAGAAACTCTTGACTTGTAGTGGATTATCCGTGGAAAAATTATCAGCCTTTAAAGTTCGGATCCAAAGATATGATACGCCCTCTCTCCCTCTTTCGATATTTTTTTTTCTCTTCGTATTTTTTTCTATCTCGAAAAGCAGTTTGCAAGTATTTGTGATAATACAGCGTTCACTATTTTAGGGGCGGAGTTTCCTTGGAGACGGAGAAAACTGAGAGTGGGACGACAAGTAAGCTCTTGGTGACACAAGCCAGATTGAGCGACAGCGGAAATTACACCTGCATACCTAGTAACGCAAATCCTGCCAGTGTGATGGTCCACGTACTGAATGGTAAGTGGTTTTTACATTTAATGTGAAAGTCAATCTATTACGACACACTCTCTCTCTCTCTCACTTTCATCCCCTCTGTCACTCACTCATGATTAAAACGCAAGACTGACAAATATTAATGAAACTACCTCTCATCAAAAAATTGCAATTTTCTTTTTTATTCCGAAAAAAAATTGCGTCTCAAGATGTTCTCAAGAATTTAAAATAATTATTTTCCATCAACAAACATGTATATTCCTCTATAGAAGAATTTTAATTGATTTATGATAAAATTTAGAAGAATGTAAACAAATATAGTTGAATTTTCGAAAATGGAAATATTGTAAATTTACATTTTACATTTAATGTAATTTACAATTACATATTTATTTTCATTACTTATTTATTCATTGTTTTAATTTTTTTTTATTAACAAGTGATGTTTCCTTTAAAAGAGGCTGTAAGCATTGGATGTGTGTTAGATTTATCCGTTTGGTTATATACTTTCATTTCAGATGTGAATTGTCCACAGTTAGTATTGTTACTAATAGTGTATTTAAAAACACTGGGTGCTGCGACACTGCCTTTGGTATCCTATGAAAATCAAATTATTATTTTTCTTTCATTGTTTAAATAAACAATAAAAGTTGTTTATTTCTGTTCTGGCACTATACATAATTAATAATAGTTAATAATAATAATAATTAATAATAAACACATAAATAAGCAGAATTAGTTAAAATTAATAATAATTAATAATTACATTTTAATTTTCCGTTTAGCATATATTAATCATATTCAGGGGAGAAAACCGATATTTTTAACCAGATCAAAAAAATAATTGAAACATTACATAAAATTATTTTTAAACTAATAATTCTTTTTGCGAGGAATTCAATTGTCATAAAATAAAATTGGTCAGAAAATATTTTGACCATTTTTTTAAAACAATTTTTGTCACAAAATCCTCATGAAAAAAATCGCGTCTCAAGATGTTTGAAATTAATTATTAATTTGTAATATAATTATAATCCATTTCGAACATTTGCACAGAAAAAATGTTTTTGAATCCATAAAAAAGAATTGACAAATAAAAGAAAAACAGTTCATCTAAAATAACTTTAAAATCCACTTGCTTACAATTCCATTTTACGAAATTTCAAAAACAATTTCAAAAAAAATTTGAATAAGAATTTTTCAAAAAATTAACATTTTTAAGGAGGATAGGTTCACGACGGTAGTCAAGATAACTATTTTTTTTTTTAAATGTTCAAATATGAAATAAATTTTAATATGTAAATTAAAAGATCATTTTTTAAAATAATGTTGTGTACATAATTATGTAAAAATCTGTAAATAATTAAAATTTTAAGAAAAAACAGTAATATTTTGAAGAACGTAGTGCTTTGCAGTTAGAGATCTGGCAACATGGCATGAACAGCTGATGCGAGCGCATGCGAATTAGTGTTGTTTTGGTCAGTTTTGGTTGACTTTCGTCATGGAGAATAGTTTTTCTTTAGTTTGACAATTTAATAAATTGTTTTTTTTCACTTTTTGAAATAGTGTATTTTTCAGTACTCAGCTTTATTTGAATTACCGCGCTACTCCGCTTCTCCCACCGCTCTCAACAGTTGCGATGTTGCCACGCACTCCGCGTCACTCACGTCAAAAAAAAAAATTACAAGTAACTTTAAGTTTTGGATAAATAATACTCTGCAACTAAACGGTCGATTTCGTTCTCTTTAAAGTATTATGTTCCTTAAACATTGAATTAATTTTGCTCTAATTTTGAGTTGAATCTCTCCGCTGTGTCAAAAGTTATTAACCAAGTTGTTATTTTTTTTTCATTTTTTTTTTTTTTGCGGCCATTAGCTCAATGCTAAATACTGAGAAAAATAGTGAACTTTGGCCGTCAATATCTCGAAAACTATACGGTCGAATTGGCTCAGATTTAACAATAATATGCATTAATATGTCATTTAATTTTGCTGCAAATTTCAAACGAATCTCTATGATTCATGATTTTGAACTAACCTCCTTAAAAGTTTTGATTATATTTATGGTTAAAATTTTTACATTGTAAAATTTGAAATTGAAACTTTTTGAAATTTAATTATTTATAAAAATTGTAGGCGCTACTCTTTTTTAAAATTCAAGTATTTTTAAACTATTTTAATGTTAAATAATTTAAATATTAAAAATTCGGGAAAATTTAGTTTTTTGAAAAATTTTGATTGAAATATTTTTTATATTAATTCAGTTCTGGAATATACAATATTCAATTGAAAAATTTTCAAATTATTTAAGTAAGAAAAATTTAATTGAAAACTAAATTTTAAACTATTTTAAGTGAAATTTCCTTATTTTTTCAATAATCGAATTCTCAAAAAACTTTCTCAAAATTACTTAAAATAATATAGGGAAGAATTTCAGTTAAAAATAGTAAAAAATAGATTTTTTAATTTTTCTCTAAATTTTTTTAAAATTGGTTTAATTTTTTTGAAAAACAATTGAATAATAACTGTTGTAAGTTTGTAATTATTACAAAAATTAAGTTTCAGATGATTCAAAATTGTAATTTTCGAAAAATAATTAAATAATTAAATTTCGTAATAATTACTTTTGTAAATTTTAGAAAAAATTAAATTTCAAAAGATTTGGAATTATAACTATTTAAAATCTAAAATTTATAAATAGTTTAGTAAATAACAGTAAATATTTAAAATAATTTAACAAAATTATTGAAGCATTGAATAATTTAATTTAAAAAATCTGAAAAAATTACGTTTCTAAAAAATTTTAATAAAAATTTAATTAAAATTTCTTTAACATAAATGAATTTTGTAATAGTTAATACTCACTTTTTTAATTGGACAATTTTCGAGACCTGCGATAGTTCCCAAAATGAATTTCTGAACATTGCGTTCAAGTGAATATTTTTCAAAAGTTCCACACAAATTTTTAAAGTCAACAGCATCCTTCTTCCCGGACTTTGGATATCTTATCAAAAAAGAAGCCTGTAAATAGTAAGAAAATTTTAATTCTATATTTAAAATCAAGAAAATAATTTAAAATTAAAATTCTATTTTATATTGTTATGCTTATTTTTTTAAATAAATTTAAAAACTCTATTTTCTGTTCGTTTTTTCAAAAAAATTCATTTTTAAAGAATTTTTAAAGAATTATAACTTTTTTTACTTCTTTATGTAAAGTTCTGAACGTTTAAATGAACGAGACGATATTTTTTATTAATTCTTTTAATTTTGTATTTTATTGAATAATATTATTTTTTTTTATTAAAATAATAATTAATTCTGAAGTGAGTAAATGTTGAATTTACATTGCTTTTTAATTACTAAATAATAATATACTAATTTTACAAAATTTTTTCACACTTACTCTTAAAGGATTTAGATTTTCGCTAACTGGTACATTCCATTTGATTTCAGTTTTGTCGTCCTTTTTAGTTACAGTTACTAATTGGTTATTTTTTCCATTCATAATATTTACCGATTTTATATGAGCTTCTCTGTACGTCGCCTAAAATATTGCATAATTGAATAATTTTTATTATGAAAATAATAAAAATAATTATTAACTAATAATTAATTAAATAATAATTCATTACTAACATAATTTTTCTAAGGATATCAAATTGAGACGAAAAAAGTGTCAAAATTGTTGCGAAGCAACGTTTTGATACTTTTTTTGTCTCAATTTGATATCCTTAGAAAAACTGTGTAATAATTTTCACTATCATTATTATTCAACTTTTTACAATCAATTTTAAGAAAAATAATTATTTAATTATATAAAAAAAAATTATAATTGCATTTTCTTTATAGTAAAACTCTATAAATTTTTTTTTTTGATTTCTTTTTACATTAATTAAAGTGCGAAAGATTAGTTAATAAACTGATTGAAGAGAAACTCACAGAGTTGCAGACAGCAAAAAACAAAGCGAACAGACAAAGAATTTTCAACATTTTTAAATTTTTGCGCAGAATTTTCAATGTAATGTTGAAAAAGAATAAATAACTGACACCTCTTATTTATATAGGTATTTTGGTAAGGTAAACTAGTTTTGTTTATTATCTGAGAACTGGGAATTTAATAGTTAAATATTATCTCTATAAACATTATGGATAAAACATTGTTAATTTAGTTTCATATTTGCTCTTGTAAATGGTTTTTTATCAAAAATAAATGAAATATTCTTTAAACTTAGATATGAAATTAATTAAATATGACGCTATTTAGCAATTTTTTATTATTTTAATGGTTCCAAACTTTATCACTATATTTTAATACATTGAAAAAAATATATTTTAAAACTGTAAATAAATATTTAACACTGTCTTATAGAAATATTTTATAATAATTTATACAAAAATGAATTTTACACAAAATGAAAAAAAAATAACAAGATCAAATATTCGGAATTTTAACAAAATTATTTATTTATTTAATATTATTATGATTTTTTAAATGTAAATTTTATATGAATTTAATTTAAAAATTAAATTTTATTTTATGAAAATGAGAATATAATGAACTATCTATCAATAATTCGCGCGCTAAAGCGCGATGCTAACTTTTTACTACCTTTTTTTAAATAAAATTAGCAATTTTAAAAATAATAGAATTTAGAAATTTTCTAATAAAAATTTTTGTTGAAAACAATAAAATAATTCAATTTTGGAGAAATTACAAATAATTGCAGAAATTCAATTATTTAAAAAAATACAAAATTCAACTATGGTCAAAATTTAAAAAAAAATTCTTGTTAAAATCCCAATTATCTTTATAAATAACAAAATCAAAGTTCAATTATTTTTATAAATGTCAAAAAAATTCTTGTCCTAATTTCAATTATTTTCAAAAATAAAATGCATTTTTCTAATTTCAATGATTTTCAATTTCTACGATTTTTTATAAAATTTCCCAAAACGAATTCAATTATTTAAAAAAAAATTTTAATAAAATTGTATGTAAGCATTTAATTATTTTCATAAATAATA